ATTTTCTCCAGCTGACAGATTACATTCCAACTCCAGGCCAGAAGGCAATGCCTAACTAGTCCTGTAATTGTTGCAACATGAGGGTCTAGATAAAACTGAGACTAGGCATGAGAATCAGAAACCTTTTCTCCAGTGCTCACAGTGATATAGTTGCTGTTTCCTAGCACAGTAAGTGATCCTCCACTGCTCTCAATACAGATGCAAAATTGAAGAGCTAAGGCTTGGAAACAAGGAAAGGAACAGCCAAACCAAGGAAGCTGATAGATTTGTATGAGGGGGTGGAAGAATCAGGGGAAAAGGGCAATTTTCACAGGAGAAGCTGTAACTAAGAAATGGGGATAATACATTTGGAGCAGAATAAAAGGAAAATTAATTGGAAAAGACTTGAAATCCAGAAAGGAGATTGGACACTCATGAACAGTTGGAAGGACGTAGTGAATGGGAGGGAGAAGGACAAGACCGGGACTTAGGAACCAGAAGACAGCAAAACAGCCACTACTACAAGAAAACCAAAAGAAAAAAAAAAAAAACCCACAACACCAGACACAGGATCAAGACTGAGAGAGAACACAAAAAATCTGAGACTTCGTGAGCTATAGGAGAAAGACTGGAAACAAGTGGTTGTGGTTAAATGGCAGGAGAAGGGGCTTAGAGAGAGAAGGGGCAGAGAAGGGGCTTAAGAGAGAGAAAGGGCTGTGAGAAAGGAGAGACACTGGATTTTTATCTAAGAGACACAGTGGGCAAGCTGATATTCATGATCAAGGGGACTGGGATCATCCCTTACCAGTTTCTTTCAAAGCTCTTCAGTTTTTGGTTTTGGAAGGGGGGGTGTTTGGGTTTGTTGGGTTTTTTTTTACAGCAGCTTTTGTTGTGAAATTCCCAGCTACCCTCCTGGGTTCTGTGCAGCCTGAGCACTCAGAGATGTATGGAGAGCTAATCTGTGCATAAACAAGGCAGGCAAAGGTTGCAAGAGTAGGCAGAAAAGTGTAATTACTTTCCTGTGGTCCCACAGCAGGTTAGTATCAAAATCAGGAACAGAATTCAGATTCCTCCTCCCAGCTCCAATGCCCAGTTCCCCAGACCCTGCTGTCTTCTTCCATTTCCATGCAGCGTACAAAACTGACTGACTGACAAGACAGGCACCACTCCAGCAAAACACAGACCCACGTAGGGAGGCATAAACTCCTCTGCCTGCAGTCTGAACTGAAGGGACAAAAGAGATCTCTGGTTCACGTGCTGTGTAGCCATGGTTATCGCAAGCTCTGCATCTGAGCTAATAACCTATGCTCAGAAGAAGAAAATGGTAGCTTGACAACATCACCCTAATGTGGCTGAAAGAACAGAGCTGTCTTGCATCTGCCCAGCTTGGAGCACTAGCAGAGCAATCTACTTCTATCCAGAAAGACATATGTCTCTGAAAAACACTGTGCCTCTTGCAATTACATATCTGCATTGCAATGAGGATTTGTAAAGCCCAGGGTCTAGCACATCTGTCATGTTTTGCCCCTACTTCATTTGTCTCACAACAAGCCATCTAAAGCATGGCTAACTGGGCATTTCCTACATAGCTATAGCAAATGAATGAATCCTTAGTTTGTACTATGATCATGAAAAGCTCTACAAGTGTTAGATAGGATTTAACCGATGTTTACCAACAAATTAGCGAATATTAATTAATTAATGAACAACTCATTCAATTTTTTTTTTTAATATCTGAAAAAAATTACATCTAGTTACAGTTGTTTTCTGTTTCTGCTAGGAAACAATTCCGCTACTTTGTTTTCAGCGTCCCAAAAAGCTTTACAATTAATAATAACCAAGAAATCAGCAGCAGTTGCTATGAACAAATTGCAAGAACTGACAGTGAAGATTAAAAATCTTGTGTGGACATACACAGGAATAACACTAAATGAAATAGCTGCAGGTTGGGGGACCGAAAGTAAAAGTAACTGATAGAAAATACATGCTTTGCTGGAACACCTTCCAAATCCTGGATGCTTGCAAGCTTCTGCTGCCATCAACAACAACTTCCATTTGTCATGGAACTTACCATAAGTATTTTTTTCAAAAGCTCCAATCCAAGAAAGCAAACAGCAACTATCTCTCCATATTAATGGACGAAAACATTCACAAGTCTATATTCACCCAAGTGTTTACTGGAGAACTCTGGATTTGTCTCTACCCAAACACATCTGCTAGCATTTATCTTTTATACATGTTTCCAGTCAAGTCTACCACGTTTTTAAAAACAATATAGAAACTACACAGAGAGAACTTTGGCTTTGATCGTGCTTTAGAGACTACCTAACAAAAAAATTATGCTTCTGCCTCCAACATTTTCTATTAAGTCTTTTAACCATTCTCTGCTATCTCACACTGTTCATTATAAAAGGGGAACAAATTTCCCATGGCATTTATACATAAATAGATTTTAAGAAGAATGGAAAGGTTTGTGGGTTTGCAGTATATTTGATGACATAAAAGTACAGAAATCAGTCATTACATACTCTGAGCACTGTTATTATACTATAAAATAAAAATGCTTCATTGTCTTTGGAGATTAACTCTCCCATTAATTCTAAGCTCAAAGTGATGATCGCAATCCAGACAAAAGGTCTTGACTCTGCATTTCTATTTATGCTGAGTAGAACTTCCTTAAGCAGGAGGTTCCATTGTACTGAAATGAGAAAGGGTTGTAAACCCATGAAACCAGGGGAAATAACTCACAAGCAAACAGAAAATTAACTTTACGACTATCTAACAATGACTTTTAAGATGCATGAAACCTTTGACTGCCAGAGAAGAAGAAAAGGTATTTGTCACAGAAAAATTCTAATGCACTTCATACTGCTTTGGGCTGTTTTCGTGGTTGTTTCATGTTAACATTTTCATAGCTTCTTCACAGATTCTAAATTTCAAATCTGTAAGAATCAGTATTCTTCACCAGCATCTTTCCATTGGTCCCCCAAGTCATGGCATGCTTGCAAAGTGCGTAATAATTTGGCTTCACTTCAAACTTACTTTTCTCTGATTTGCACCTCCTCAACCATCCTCCAACTTCCCCCATGCTGTGCTGAAAGTCCTAGACTGAAAAGCAGCCTTCTCCTACTGAAAGGGACCCAGCAGCCTGTTTGAAATACATAAATGAAAACTCCTGCCTAATTATGACAACACATATAGTGACAGCATGGCAGCTCCCCTTTCCAGTTCAGGATAAGGATGTATTTCTGACTCTTTGTCCACTCCAACTCTATTCTGTTGTAAAGTCTTACTGAATTTTTCCATTCTGGCTCAGTGCCCCCATTCTGTGCCAGTGGGAACCATCCATCTGTTCCAAGCTTCATGAAAACAGTATTGTGTAGAACAGCCCCTAACTTAAACATTACACTCTCCTTTCTTCTGGAGTCTCCAGTATCCTTCCATTGATTCCAACAGCAAAGATAGAAAGGGACAAACACCTCAGCCAAAGAAAGAAGTGGAGAGCAGTATGACAGCAACAGAACCATAGTTCAGCATAGTGGGCCAGAGGGAAGAAACGGCATAAGGAGAACGCTACCACTGATGACAGAGACGAAGAAACCTACTTATTGGATTAATTTCCTGCAGGTACACAGCTCCCAAAGAACATAAGCTATTAAATTGCCACTACATTTCACTTAAGTGAAGATGCATAAGAAGAAGCAAGGCAAAAGAAGCTTACAGTGGTACAACCTATCAGAGGGCAGGAGGAAAGGATCCAGAAATGGGAATCTACAAGAAAGTAGAGTCTGAATGGATGAGAATAATGAAAAATTTTGAGTAAAGCCAAGCTTTTCAACAAGTTGTAAGGATAATTACAGAAAGATCATGTTCTTATAAAGAAGATGGTCCTGGAAACTGGGTTGTATTTGATGGCAGAAACCAGAGTGAAAACAGAAGAAGAAAGTCTCAAGCAGAGGAGAGGGAAGCTGAACAAGGCTCAGATTTCATGCCCTTTTCAAATCTGCAATTATCTAGAAAACCAGTAGAAGGTGGAACAAAACACCTCTTTATCCTCTACTGACATGTTAGAAATTCAGTTCCTGTAAAGAAAACATATGAATATTTTTAATACTACATCACTTAAAGTAAGCATTTGCAGTTCCTAAAACTACCGTAACTTATCATACAATACACAATTTCCTCCCTTTCTGAAACACATCTCTTCTCCTTCACTTAAGATCAAAGTAGACATTGCCCGGCCAGGCCATATTGCTAAAAGTGATAATCATTGGCACCCACTGAGTTTTAAACACTGAATTGGAGAGCTGTTTCTAAAATCTGTTCTGAGAAGTCCTTCTTAGTCAACAGTTTCTCTTTTTACTGCATGCTTTGTTATCTTTGTCGGCCAGGCTATTACTACTGTAATACAATTTTCTGCTTACTTAATGGCACAGTATCTTGCCTCTATATAATGGTGAATGGAGTAATTTTGAAGATGTAATGTAAAATGATGCTTAGACCGAAAGGCCAGGTAGAGTCTCTCACTTCCCAATACTCCAACGAGCATGGCTGAACACGATGAGGAGGCAGCTAGATCCCCAGTCTCAGTGTGCCTGCTAGTGCCTAGTGGTAGTTACCAAGGGAAAAATAACCGGTCTTTGTAAAAACATGTGGGGAACATCATCTGCAAATTTAGGTGCCTCTGACTCCCTTCAGCACTCTTCCTGCGTGTACCATAACATAAGCACAATGTTTCAAAGCCTCTGAACTCTGTTACCACCAGTTCCACATTTCCCTCCTTGTACCAGAAAAACAAAGCCACAGTTTGGTTTTTATTTCGCCTAGGAAACACTGACTATTTCAGTTTGTTCTTGGCTTCCCAATCACCAAGCTGTACTTCAGCACTCTTTGCAACTTTCAACTTTTGCCTGCCATATCTTGTGCTCCCAAAACAAGTTACAGGAAGAAAACCAGTTAGTTCAGCAATAAGAATCTGAGACCTTTGAACATTTTGTGTAGAAGTAAAGAGCAACACTAACCTCTTTCATTTTTTCCAGTTCATTCTGTAGTGCTTGCTTGGCAATTTCAACTTCTATAAGCTGCTGTCTTAATTTTTCGTTCTCATCTTCTGTTATAGTACGTTTTTCTTCCACATTTTCTAATTCATGATGAAGTCTCACCGATACATCTTTTGCAACCTAAATGAAATGGTATTTCAAAAGAAAGATTAAAAAAAGGAATTACTGCTGCAGTGCTTAGTGCCTAAGCAAGCATTTAGAGATTTAATTCTGGGTGTTTTGATGGAAGCAGTACGTAGAGAAACACGTAGACAAGGACATCCACAGATAGAATTCTAAATTATTCCAAATTCAATCCAATTCCTTCCAAAAAATGGTACATTATTCCTATGCACTTCACTGGAAACCACATTAGACAATCAACCCCAACTCCTTAGGTTCTGTTACATCAATGCTAAAACAGGACCTTCTTTATTCCTGAAGACAGTACAGCATCTATTTTCTCTCAACCACTGCTAGCTTACATTTCAATTCAATACGCTATGGCATATGCCTTTCAACTACTTAACACGCAGAAGCATCTAAAAGCAGGGCCCACCTTATCCAGGCCTTCCCTACCTGTGCCTTGTATAGAACCACGAACGGACACATCTTTATTTCAACCCTGCTAGTTTCTCTCTCCTTCAAGGATAGATAATCTAAATACCTGGAATTTACTACTATTGGTTCATGTAAGGAGTAAAATATGAACAAATAACATTTTTACTGACCTTGTGTTCACCCAAGTGATGTCCAATATTTTAAATGAAAAGGAACACTTTTTGTTGGGTTTCTTTTTTTTTAATGCATTTTCACAGGAATAGAGTTAAACAGCACATGTCAAGATCTAATTCCTCTTCTTGATATAAAGTAATGAGAATTTTGCAATTCAAGCCACTTGCATTGTATTTTGTGAAACCACCAAAAACTATAATCATGCACCAAAAATATTTAAATATACACTAATCACTGTTATGATGGTGATTTAGACACATAATTTGAAAAGCCTAATTTCCTGCTTTTTTTAGAACACTGGAAAGTATAATTAATCCTTCTTAGCATTAGCTAGGGGAGCTCAGAGAGCTATCCTTTGTGGGTTTCATGAGAACCATCTTTATGTTTGTATGTCAAAGAACTCTCTTTGACATACTAAAACTCTAAAGAAAAAAACAGTAATTGTAAGCAAGCAGTCTAGAAGAATCCAATCTATCAGAAAACAGCAGCAGCTAGTGACTCAGCCTCCCCTGACAAGAAACCCAGTGTGTGTGAATTACAGATACAACACTGCAGTGTAGCACAAGATCGTTCAATAACCTCCCCCACTGCACACGCACTCAAGACACATAATGCCCAACAGAAAGAGGGAGTGGAGAGGAATTTCAATTATAACTCCAAAGAGACTGCAGGATGAGCTGAGAATCCCACCACAGGGCTAGAGCTTGATGTCTTTTCCTACACCTGGTATTAAACTGCTCGTCTGGTTACCCAACCAAAGTAAGCGGAAAATCATAGGGGACATTTTTGACAGCATCCTATCAGGATCCATCTTCAGTCCATAGATACAGTCTGGATCAGTAAATACAACCAAGTAACAAAATCATTACTGGTAGTGATTTTTTGACACAGAATTTGGTGGAACAGCAATTAATGCAGGGAAATCCTACAGAGCATTCTAGATCACATGGGAAATGGGACTCACTTATGCAAGATGTATTTTAATACAGCTATACGCAACACTGTATCTCTGAAGGATTTAGTTCCCTAATATATTACCCATGCAAAATGAACAATGTTATTTTAGATATAAATTCTTCAGAAGCAGGCTTGGGAACACTACAGAGAACTGCGCATGAGTTACAATTACAGTTAGCCAGCACCCAGAAAACAATTAGCCAGAAATTTGGCATTAGACATTCATCCCTACTCCAAAGCAGAACACATTCATGATGTGTGGGAACACTTTGCAAAAACACTATTCCTTTCCAAAGAGTCAGTTGTGTGGTTATTGGGAAAGACATGGGAGAAATCCTAATTAAAGTGAGCCCTTTGTCCAGCTCAACCTAAGGCCTTAGCTGCTGTCTCCTATGTTGCAGGCGAGCACCTCACCAGAGATGCCCTCACCATTTCCCTCCCAGGCCCTGTGCATGAAATGACTTGCTAATACACATTGAGCCAACAAAGAAATCAGCTCCGTAAGCTGGAATCACAATATTCACTTGGGAAATGAAAGCTCACGTTCAAATTCTGCCTGCAAAGGTCCATGTCTCAACTATGCCCCTAAGCATCATTCTGAGTGTAAAAATATCCCATGTTTTGACCAGAAATTCCCCTGACAAAGGGGTTGGTTTTCTTCTGACCAGGAAGATTCTATTTTGTCAAGAACCACATGGACAGCTGTACTTATAGAGCTGTCACCGCCACAACAGCGAACGTGGGGTTTGAATACGCACAGAAAAAGAATACCAAATAGAAATAGAGAGAGGGATATTAGCATTTTAGATGGCATTAGTGACAAAATTAGTGGAACGTGTCTTGGACTGGTTTCTACATTTTAATAAGAATGATGACAAGCTGAAAAATTTTCAGAAAAGATGATCCAAGTCTGTAAACCAGGCTTGGGAATAACAGACTCTCAATCCATTATACTTATCAGAAAGAAGTTTTAAAATGACCTTATTCCTGGTCATGTATTAAATCAGCATTTTCAACTGCAGTCCACAAAATCCAAGGAGTCACAGGTAACTAGATTCCTAGGTGGAAGTGGTCGATAAGCTCCCATTTGCTATACAGAGGTCTGTACTTCCAGGAGAAATGGCAGGAGACACGTTAACTGAAAAAAGTTTAGGAGTTCTGATTCAGTAACAGCCTTAACAAAGTCTAGTGGATGGAAGCAGAAATGAAGCAACTTCCAACTAGCACAAGAAGAAAGTCTTTTTTTTTTTTTTCTTCTGTAATTGGATCAATCTAGAATGGTGATGATGATTATTTTACCAACAGCAATCTTTAAACAAAGACTGAAACTTTTCCTCGACAATGTGCTGCGGTTCATTCAGAGATTACGGATGAAATACAGTTGATTACACATTGAAATTTCGTGATTGGTGTCTGTGGTTTCAGGTGGATGTGGAAAATCCTGACTTCACTGAAGGTAACAGTAGTTTTTCCACTGACACCAACAGAGTCAGGATTTCGTGTTGTGACTCTGCAAGTATTCAGTCTGCTGGTCCTCTGAAACCTTTACTAAAGAGTACCGTAATCCCCTAAAAGTCAATGGGACTATTCGGTGAGATTGGTTTCATTTTGCAGTGGTAGTGTATTACGTTTTGCATTCATCATAAAAGATTCAAACCCTCTATATCCTAATTTGTATTTGAGTCACTTCTTGCACATTAACTTCTCAAAAAATGACTGGACTAAAGCTGAAAATAGCCTACCTACGGGCTGAAGGACTTCTGTTACCAAGGTAAGCTTGGCCATTGCTATCCTATGAACCGTATTGGGTGCACAGTGTACAACAGAACGGATGGAAATGCCCGAGTCATGAGGACCGAGAGCACGGTCGTGTCTCCATCTTGACACCTGCTCATGTCCATACCTTGAGGTCCTGCTCCATGCTGCGCAAGAGCTCGCCGTCAATCTCGCCGGTCTGGGCGTAGCGAAGCCTCTTGCGCTCGGCCTTGCGCAGCCGGTACTGAAGGATCCGGCAGTTCTTGTTGGCTCGCTCCAGCTCGTGGCGCATTTCTTGAAGCTGACAAGCGTCCTCCTCGAAGAAACTGTCCCTCATCTCATCCATCTCTGTCCTCAGCTCATCTATCTCGTTCTGGCACCGGGGCGAGAAGGGAACAGGGACGCAACAAGTGGGTCAAAAGCACAAATGTCAGCACGTCCAGGGGAAGGCGGCCAAAATGGAGCTCCTCCCCACAGGGACATCAGCTAAATACATCCCAGCTCATTAAAAGCACCGCAGAGAAGCAGGGAAGTGCCACCACCCGCACGCACCACGACAGGGACATCTTAACTCTGCCCCCAGCGCTAGTGCCGGGGGAGAGGGAGGTCGGGAAACCCCTTCCCGGTGCGGGGGTGGGCAGGCCGCCAGCCCCCGGTTCCCCCCTCCGGCCTCCGCCCGGCCTTGGTTCCCCCCACCACCCTCTCCGCCCCGACCCCTCACCTTGAGGCTCTCGTTCTCCTCCCGGAGCTTCTC